GATTTAGTTATCATAAGATAACTAAATCTCTCCAATTTGCAGTTTAAGTAACTTAGATATTTGTATATAAAAGTGTATATAAATACACTTGAAAAAATATATATTATTAAATTATCTAAGTTGACTGAAACACCAATAAATCCTAAACCAATAAAATGGCAAGATGTAAGAACTTGTTTAAAAGGTATTTAGTGAAGAGACAGTTGCAGCTCTAAAAACTCATCCTAAAATAGACCAAGAAAGTGTCGAGGGTACTTTTTTGGAGTTAATTATAGATTTTTGCAGAATAGTGAATGTTAAATGTTTGGGTGCGAATCCTAGATATAGTGATGAGTCCCATAATGTTATCAGATCTTCAGATGACGTTAACTTTAAAAAGTTACTTGCTATTGCAACAACTGTTAAAAATATGAAACCAACATTTGCTAAACAAGTTTGCCAGCTCACAAGAGATAAAAGCTTTCACATAATTGTCGTGGCCTAAATGATTTGTCTCGCCATCTTTTAGCAAGTGGAAATGAATATTTCCATTTCAAGTGGAAATGAATATTTCCATTATCAATTGGAAATTAATATTTCCATTATCAATTGGAAATTAATATTTCCATTATCAAGTGGAAATGAATATTTCCACTTGATAATGGAAATAAAAGATAGCGAGACAAATCATTTATGCCACAACATTTCGCACCCAAACATTTAACATTCACTATTTTCCAAAAATCTATAATTAACTTCAATAATTGCGGCCGTGGCGCAGTGGTTATAGTGTTTGCTTTATAAGCAGGAGATCCAGGTTCGAAATGAGCTTTGGACATATTTTGTGACACGGTAAAGAAGGAGACGTGAACTTCCTGGTTAAATGCACTACCGCTGTGCTCTGTGACAAGACCGTTTGGTCTTCTTGGGGCACCTAAATAACAAATTTTTTTAAAAAAAGTAATTTTAGGTTGTTTTTCTTCTGATCTGATTGAAAAATTACGTAAAGGATCAGGTGGTATTTAATTTATAACCGCTAAATCAGTTATTGAAAAAGTAGTATTCAACATTGTAAGCTGGTGCTACAGCTAAATATTAACGTGAAAGAAAAAGATGGCCATGACATGTCTTTTATATCTAGAAGATTTAAATGATAGGGAAATTGATATTATTCACAATTTAGCAGATCTAGAAAATAGTATAAATATGAAAATTTTTTATTCTATTATTTATCTCAATGTTACATGGCCTACTTTATAGAAGGCCTCGACACCGTGCGGGAATTTTTTTGACTGAAGGCCGATTTAAAAATAAAATGGCGGTTTATTAAAAGAGAAAAATGCTGTATAGCTTTGCTAACACTAATTATTTAATAACTAATTATTCTATTTAAAAAAAAATTTGGATGCATTTTTATAAAATGAGTTTCTTGACGTCAACTTGACAACTATTTTATAAGCTTAAATAGTTTGTAAAGTTGATTAGAAACATTTTAAATCAAATTTTTGAATATACAAGAAATAATAAATAATCAGAAAAATACACCAATAACAAATCTAATTTTTTTTGTACTAAATCTTCCCAAAAAAAAATTACATAAGCTTGATTTCTTTTAGTTTTGCTTCTTTATTACTTTTGGGAGTGTGAAGTTATGCAAAGTTCTTTAAAAAAATATTTGCTAGTGTTTGGCATTGTTTCTTTGCAATAGAAAAACTACACAACTCTGCAATAAAAGCAAACTGTCGTATCAGAAATGTTCTGCAAACTTTTTTATCTAATAAAGAAAAAAATATGTATCAAAATAAAGACCACTGAGATAGAGTATCAGATGGAATAGTTAATTCTCCCCTATTTAAAGTATTCAAATAAGTTCCATATTTTTCATAATATGTAGTTGTATCTTCACCAATTTCTTCAGTAGAACACTTTTGAACATAACCAGCAATATAGACAATAGCATAAAAAATTTCTATATTTATACTATCTTCTAGATCTGGTAAATTGTAAATTATATCAATTTCCATATCATCTAAATCTTTAAGACATAAAAGACAGTCATGGCCATCATTTCCTTCTACTTCGATATTCAGCTGTAGCACCATTAGCATGTTGAATACGTACTTTTTTGATAACTGATTTAGCAGTTATAAAGTAAGTACCGCCAGAACCTTGCCGTAGTTTTCCGAAACATTTCTCAATTGGATCACTAGAAAACCAACCTAAAATAACATACTCATTTCCACTTGATAAAAGATGACAAGACAAATCAATTAGTCCACGACAAGTGTGTGAAAGTGCATTGCTTGTATCTCTCGTAAGCTGGCGAATTCGTTTACCAGATGTTGGTTTCATATATTCTGCCATTGTTGCAATAGCAAGTAACTTTTTTAAATTAATGTCATCTGAAGATCTGATTACATTATGTGACTCATCCCTAAATCTAGCATTGGCACCTGGGCATTTAACATTCACTTATTTCCAAAATTCTATAATCAACTCCAAAAAAATAATAGTACCCTTGACACTTTCTTGGTCTATTTTAGAATGAGTTTTTAGAGCTGCAACTGTCTCTTCACAAAATACTTGTAAACAAGTGCTTACTTTTTGCCGTTCTATTGGTTTAGGATTTATTGATGTTTCAGTCAATAAATCCTAAACCAATAGAACTAAACAGTCAACTTTATTAATTGGTTTTTTTCAAGTGTATAAGTTAACTAAATCTCTCCAATTTGCAATGTAAGTTATCTCATTTTGAGTAAACTGTAACTGACCTAGTTTTTCTGTCAGCCAATTGTTTCTTATGCACTTTAAAAGATGGACATATAATATTTAAAAGATGGTCATATAAAATATAAGAGCCATTTTGACAGAACCAAGGTTTTCCGTCTACGGTTTTGAATTTAGAAAAAAAGCTTTGATTAACTTTATTTCCATCTGTAATAATTGCAATAACTTTACCATTACTCATAGAACTTTCTATGGTGTCTACAATTAATTTGCACTGTTCTTGTTGGAAATCTGATGTCAGATTACTAACTGGTAAAACTCTTGCTAGAAATTCAGGTCCACCATAAAGGTTTTTTACCATGAATGAAAGTACAGTAGTAGCTAATTTCTCTGGATTATTAACAGCTTTTCCAAAATTACTTCCACTTTGATATAATAATGCTGCTTTTACATAAACTTCATCTATCAATAAAACACAATTTCTTTTTTTTTCATCAAGGTTCGATAACACAGAACTTAAAAAAGTTAAATCATCTTGAGAGTTTATTTTTGAAGTTATGCGTGTCAAAGTTCGAATACTTGGCAACTGATAATCATAACATAATCGATGGTAAGTGGAACGACTTGTTGCAAAATATTCAAAAGCTCTGGTTATTATATCTGGAGAATACATAGCACAGCCAACAGTATGATCTCCCATTACATTTAAATGCTCAAACGTTACTTGAGTTTTATGATCCTTATCTTCAACTTTCAGAAATCTAAGGGCTTCATTTAAAGATGACTTAGTACAAAGGGAAGTGATTCTGTTATTTGCCAGAGATTTAATAGTACATTTTGAACCAAAATGAAATGCTTCGAACAACAAACTTTGATTAATTATTAGCAAAAATAGTGGAACACCACAATTAAATATTTTAGATTGGATGAAAATTGAATTATTTTGCTTGTATGAAATCAAATCATTATAAGTTGATAAATGTTTTTCGATTTCTCCAAAATTTAAATTATCAATTATTTTATATTCTTTTAATTCATCTTTTCTGATACCTCTTTTTGAAGAAGAAGATAAAGTCTTTCTCGTTTTAGGTGGTGGAGAGGATAGACAACTTTTAGATATATTTGGAAACACTGATGGAGGATGAATCGGTCTCAATTTACCACGACATAATTTAAACTCTGCATCATCTGGCCAATGCAATTTACAAACAACGGTGTATTTTGTTACGGTCCAATTTAAACGAGGGATGCTCATAAACCATTTAGTTTTTTCACATACTTCACGAGGGAATTTATACACAGATACATTACAAGCTGAAGACTTATAATTTGAGGAACAGTTTGGAACACAACATTTTAAAGGCATTCTAAATAATTTAAATTAAATTTACTTGAAGAATAGCTGTAAATTTTTCTGAAAAAACGTAACTCATATTTTACTCCCTTTCAAACCAAAAAATGCGTTTGTAACAGTTTCAAATCGGCCTTCAGTCAATTCCCGCACGGTGTCGAGGCCTTCTATAAAGTAGGCCATGCAATGTTATAATATTATAGTCTATTATTTATCTCAATGGTCTTTGTTTTACTACATATTTTCTTTATTAGATAAAAGAGTTTGCAGAACATTTCTGATTCAACAGATTACATTTATTGCAGATATGTACAGATTTTCTATTTTAAGGAAACAATGCTAAACACTGGCAAACATTTTTTTAAAGTACATTTTATTACTTTACACTCTCAAAAGTAATAAAGAAACTAAACTCAAAGAAATTAAGCTTATGTAAACGTTTTTTTTTTTTTTTTCTATTTAGTACAAAAAAAAAAAAAAAATTTTTTTTTTTACATTATTATTTCTTTTAAATTAAAAATCTTGATTGAAAATATTTTTATTTAACTTTACAAGAGTTATCAAAAATTGTTATTAAAAAGTTGTTAATTAACTTCAGCAAACTAATTTTACAATAATAAATTAAAAGTTTTTTCCCACAGACTGTTAACTATTTGTGCTTAATCTTAGCAAAGCTATATAACTTTTACTTATCCGCCATTTTTTTTTTTAAATCGGCCTTCAGTTGAAAAAATTCGTGCAGTGTCAAGGCCTTTTATAAAGAAGGCCTTGGCTTAAACTCATTTTATAATAATGATCAATTTATGAATCGAGGTGCAAATTCAGTATATTATTTAATAGCATAAATTTATATCCTGACTATCATCATCATCATCATATGATCATCGATCCTTTTTATAAAAAAAAAATTGTGGTGAACTTTATATAATTCTTTTTTGTTAAGGAGAGGCAATGGAAAAAGGTTTGCGTGATTGTTGTCGAGGAATACACATCGGAAAAATTCTAATGAATAAAGATGAAGAATCATTTCAGTATAAGGTACATTCAGAATAATATATAAATAATGAATTCAAACAAAATTAACTTAAAAAATATTTTAACACTTTTTTTTTATTATCGTTTCTTTAGTTTCGTAATTTTTTTTTCGCGTTTTATTTATTAGTTTGTTTATTTTGCTTATACGTTCTATAAGGTTATCTATGCAAGGTTTCCTAACGACATTCATAAAAGAAAAGTGCTTCTAATGTATCCGCTTTTGTGTAAGGTTATTTAATTTGTTAGTATGAACATTACTTTATTTTATTTTTTTACTTATTGTTTTATATTTTGTTTTTTTATTAGTTTTGTTATAATTATTTTATTTTTAGATAGTGGTGACGACATAGCTCTAGCTGTAAAAGCGCTGCTTGAGTATGGTGTTATTGAAGAAAATATTTATGTTCTTACGCTTTTTGCGACGCCATTTGGTATGCCTAAAGATAAATTTTGTTTTTTAACGTGTTTAATTTTTTTAACAAAATCTTGTTTATGATGAACATAATTTTATTGTTCGCCAAACAAACAAAAATTTCAAATATTTACATCGATTAAAATTTAGGCGTCAATGCACTCTACAAGCAACATCCGAATATTTCTATTTTAACTACTGAAATGCAATGCGAATTGCCAAATCATTTTGGAGAAATTTATTTTGGAACGAATTGAATCTTGTTTTGGTTGATATATTTTTTTAAAACATCAGAAATTTATGAACTTTGTGAATAAACATAAAAATAAACGCATTAAGCGTTGCAAATCTTTAAATAACTTTAATTAGTTAAGAGAAAATTGGTTTTAAGTTTTGGGAATAGCAATAGATTGCGTGATTTTGTATGGTATCGGAATCGAGCTCAAAAGGATTTAGTGTTATATAATGATTCTTATACTTCAGCATATTAGAATACTATAAAAAAAAACTTCTAGAAAATCTAAAATAGTAATAAATAAAATTGGGTCAATATTGTAATCGATAACTTGGTTTTGCACGATTTCTGATGATCAAAATCGAGACCGATTTTCTTGTAACTAATAGTAATGTAAACTAATGCATTATTTTTTATAACTGCTTTTTATGCGGTTACTTTTAAAAAATTATTTTTTATCAGATTTTAAAAAAATTTTTTATCTTTATAAAAACCCAAAAGAGTAAAAATATTTCTAACAAAATGTAGTTTTTAATGATATAATCATTTGTTTACTTAACAATTTTGGCAATGTCCACTGAGCTACCTGCCTATATAGATCGAGTATAATTTATGGTCAAGCATTTTAATTTTTTTATTTCAGAGCAGTTGGAACTCAATAATATAGCAACGAAGGCAGTGGTATACAAAGTTGAGTGGAATAAATTCAGACAAAAAAAATGTAAACGAATAATTTCGAAACGACCATACCTTGTAGAGTTATAACTATAACTCTGCAAGGTCGTTTCCAAAGATTTTACAAATATTTAGTCAATGTTTAACCCCACCCTCCTTTTAACAATTAAGTTTAAATGATCACAACTTTTAAACGAAATAACATTTTGGGATGAAATTTAAAACCTATTAATAAATTTTGATTTTTCTTTTTTGGTGTTAATACAATGTGGATTTTTTTTTTCAAAGTTTTTTTTCCTATGACAAATGAATTGTAAACTTATATGGAACTACCATACCGTTTTAGGAGTGTTTATCAATTGTCACTTTAGAGAAATTTTACTTCTCTGCTTTTAAAGAAAATTCATTAAACTTAAGAACATTCTTTTAAAATAGGATATGTAAAATGTAAAGTTGGGTTTTACATTTTACTATTTTAAAAACCAAATATTCTTGGCAATCAATTTGAGCAAAAACTGTTTAAAATTAATTAATAACGCAGGCATTTTAAACGGCATTTTACTCGAATCTTTTTCACTGAGTAACGATGAATATCTACCTTTTTATATCACAATATTTAAAGGTTTGAAAGAAGTAAGTTGTTTTTAGTTTTAGACTTTAAAACTATGACATAAGAATTAAAGACAATCAATAATTGGAATTTAAAACGTTGTTTTAGGCTAAATATAGGTATACTGTACGGTTATCTCATTAGGTTATATCATACCATGGTGATCATATACCTAGATTAAAAGGTGCTTTTTGATTTTTTGCTTGTTTTATTTCCACAACCAGTTCAAAGAGGAATTTAAGGTAGAGTTGTTAATAAGGCCAAAAGTATCAAGGCCAAGAATTTAAGGACAAGGCCTACGCAAACATTTTCAAGATCAAAGACTTCAACTTTTGGCTTACGTTAAAGCCATTTATTAACACAACTGTAAGTAGCAAGTACTGTGACAATAAAACCACATTTTGTAAAAATAGACCAAGGTTATCGGCAGAATTCAACAAAATCAATAAAATAAATGTATTTTTTTTTAAAACCAAGGCCAAAATTTTCAAGGCTAAGACCAAGGCGAACAGTTTCAAGGCCAAGGCCTCAATTTTTGGCCTTAAGGCAAGGCCAAGGACTAACAACTTTGATTTTAGGTGCCTTGAAATTTCTAAAAAAATAGAGGGGGGGTTATTTCCCCCTTATCCCCAATACTTTTCTCGTGCAGTTTTCCTTCATATGAATTTTTTAAATAAAATGTGTATATTAAAAAATAATGATATTTTAATTGATTTTCGATATTTTCTATATTGTTAAGGTGTTTGTCACGGAGCATAATGCAAACTCAGCATGCGAAACTATTTTATCCAATTATATTATTAGAAAAAAAATTTAATATTTAATAAAACTTTGATTTATTAACACAAAACTTAATGCATACTTTGCCCATGCAAAATACACATTTTTAACCCTATATATGTAAAATATTTATAATCCATTTATTCGTTCTATAATAATAACTTTATCACATCACGCAATTTAATTAAAATAGTTTAATTTCAATTTTTAAGTGCGCAATTCTCTTTAAATAAAATTTAATAACTTTTTTTAATTTCTCACCCCTGCTTTAAAAACTACATCCGGATTAGGGTGTAAAAAATTCGGATAAGGGTTTAAAGAGATCACAGAATACTTATCAAGGTTTTTAATGTCTCAGTAAGAATCGTGAATGACTAAAGTTTATTTACAGAATGTTTGTTTTTTGCATGATTAATAACAAGAATGTACATTGTGAAAAAAATTACAAAACCTAACGAAATATTTATAAACATTTGCACAAGGTTTATTCACCAGTACCATAAAAAGTTAGTTTGTAATTTATTAAAACACCAGAACAAGTTGTATACCCACTTTCACATGATATTCTTGGATTTTCGTAGCCGGCATTAACTTGTACACGTTGCGTTCCCGTTTCTTCTTGTTGCACTTGTACCTTTTTACTTTTTTTCAGAAAATTTCTGAATGTTAAAAAGTTTCTTTTCCTAGAGTTTATAATCCTTTTATTGATCGAATTTTTTTTCCGTCCAGTGACAGGATCGAAATTTAATGTATTCATGTTATCATTATTCTGTAAATTAACCTCTGGAATGTGATTACGGATTATTTTAAAGGTCTCTGTATGAGGTGTATCAAAACTGTTATCATTTATTTCTGTCGACCCAAGCACTTTATCTTTGCGTACTCCCGTTGGGTATGGAACATCAAAGTATGGGTTCTACAACAAATAACAGTAAAAGCAAAAAAATAAAGATCGTTAGAAATTATTTATCGCGTATTTAGCAAAATTAATAAAATAGTGTATCCGATCAACAATTTTAGTCGCTAGATTTAACAAATATTACCATAAAAGACTTGTTAAACCTGGCAATCAAAAATACTATAGAGCGGTGGTAAGGAACAAATAAAATATTACGTCACTTTACATTTTATTTCTACATATACATATACTTCACACCAGTATTTTACGAATTCCGTAAAAAGACTTGAAATAAAAATTATTTCTATTGAATAAAAACTTTATTTATTGACATATTTACTGACAGTATTTTAAATAAGTACTATAAAATTCAAACGTAGTTCGCTTTTCAGGCATGTTTATTCCATAAAAAAATTTTTTTAAAGAAAAAACTTTATATTGACTAGATACAAATATAGTTTGCAAAGTTCATAGCAAAAAATAGCAATATCAATTACAATGAACCCGCTGTTTTATACAACGCTAAGATCTTGCTAAACTTCATTATATAGCTCCTGAGAAGTTCTGAAAAATGAAATTTTTTTTAGCCGTAAGCGCAGGAAATAAAGTCATTTTTTAAAAATTTTTCTAAACATTAACGACATTAAAGACGTAACAAAAAGCAAATTGTTTCGTTAAAAAAAAGTATAATTTAGTATAAATTAAAAAATATTGAGATCATTCAACCATATCCGTAGAATGTGAGAACAAACTTTAATAAAACCCCGGAACAGTCGTTAAAAATATTTTGACAAACAATACGGGGGTTCTCATAACCAGCATTGACTTGAACGCGCTGTGTTCCGGTTTCATCATGTTGAACTTGAACTTTCTTGCTCATTTTTAAAGTTTTATCTCCATAAATTTTATTTATAACTGTTTTTTTTTTCCGTTTAAAAGCTGTACTGGAATTGTTATTGATATTGTTAGTATTTCTATAATTTCCCCAGGGTTCTTTAGCTCCTTCTTTAGGTTTCACATGGTCTTGAGTGCTACCTTCAATCGTCACTTTATTTTTACGTACTCCGTTAGGATAGGGTACATCAAAATATGGATTCTATAAAAAAATAAACGTTTAAAAGATATTTGCTTTTTGCTTTTTTATATTTCTGATTAAAAATTGTAGTTTTTTTTTAAATATTCAAGGTATTAAAAATAGAAACAAACTTTTGTACCGTAAAACAACCACCGTTCGTTCAAGCCAGTCATGTTATGATTTTTCTTATTCATGCAAATTGTCACTATCGCTAACAGTAATATCACCGTCATGTTCCATTAAACTCATGTCCAAAAAATTAGTTATAACGGTCATTATTATAAGAACTGTTTTAAATTCTTTTTAAGATATAAAAAAATTCAGAAAGCTTTTTAATTGACTATTCAAACTGTAAATGCAAAATATTTAAACCTTCATAACTTTTATTTAAATAAATTATTTAAAAGCTTTTATGTGGACATCAAAAGTAGACATTTGTTTCTAAAATATTTATTTGTAAAAGGTCGATATTGCGTATGACTTCTAATTCACGCATTCTAGATATTAGGAAACTGGCTCCTTGTATACACGACAGCGCATGGACTAGTTGTTTTGAAAAGATTTTTATCCAAACTAATACTTACTAGTTTGGGTAAAAATCTTACGAGTTAACTGAATTATAAAAAAATAAAAAAAATAAATAAGAAAACACTAAAAAAGCACAATTTTAAAACATGCTGACGAGATGCTTTGCGATGAGTAGAATAAAATTATTAGATTTCTGTTGTGACTGATATAACATAAATTATTTAAATTTGGTTATATTTTCTGGCTTTGTTATGCAATTAAGTTTGTTTTCAATCGATTCATTGTTAATCATTTTACTTCATCGCTTCTTTTCGATTGAATTGAAAATCTTTTTATTCGATTGCATGTATAAATTGGACTCGCTGCTGTTTATTGCTAAATTTGGAAATTTCTTTTAACTCAAATAAGTTTTTTTTATCAAAAAGAAACTTAGTACTGTTAGCTGTTAAAGATTTCTTTTAATAGTAGTTTCCTACTAAAAAAAATATTTTAAACATAAAAAAGGTAAACCATTAACAATGGAAAAGTTTCATCAACATATCAAGACTTTTCAAGACTGACACCAGTAACAAAAGTTGCTAAATAGTTTTTAGAAATTCAACAAGTTTTTTATAAGTTATTCTTGTTATGCCTTCTTGTTTTGTTGTTTTCTTCTGCTATTGTTATTTTAATCTTTTATTGTTATTTCTTTCTTCTATTGATATTTCATTCTTCTATTGCTATTTCCTTTTATTGTTATTTCCTTCTTCAAGTGTTATTTCCTTTTTTTATTGTTATTTCCTTCTTCTATTGTTATTTTCTTCTTTTATTGTTATTTCCTTCTTCTATTGTTATTTCCTTCTTCAAGTGTTATTTCCTTTTTTTATTGTTATTTCCTTCTTCTATTGTTATTTTCTTCTTTTATTGTTATTTCCTTCTTCTATTGTTATTTCCTTCTTCTATTGTTATTTCCTCTTTACATTGTTATTTCCATTTATGTAGAATACGAATATGATAAAATTGGAATAATACAAAATCTTCTCTTTTTGATTCACTTAGAACAGGCAGCTAAACTTGAATCTGATCTCAGTTTTGTAACAGATTAGGCCTAGCAGAGACTTGTGAACTTTAAATGCAACTCAGTTATTTAATGCAAACAGTTATTGTAATACTATCGACATCAATGACCTTTATTGATGATAGCAACATTCTCGATAAGATTGATGAACGGTAACTTTTTTACGTCATCCTTGATTATCGTTCACTGGTGAATCTCACATAGAAACCATATATACGTTGCTTTCTCTCTTATCATGCTTGTCATTATCTTACTCCTGATTCCCTTCTCTGCCTCTACAAATCTCTAATTCGTACCTGTATGGAATACTGCTGTCATATTTGGGCTGTTTTTCTAATGCCATTACAATTATCAAAATACCAGCATATTGTTACTAGGAATTGCATTCATTAGACCATAATGTACTTGGCCATTTAAAAATATAGTGCAATACTAATTGTAAAGATATGATAAGTTTTTAGATACTAAAAGGCATTCACAGGCGCTAATATTATTTTGGTTTGTGTGTGTATGGTTAATTTTCTTAGAACTCTTTTATTATTTTATATGATTATTTTATTATTTATATTTTATTATACTTTTATTATTTATATGATTATATTTTATATGATATGATACCTAATTTAATTTGTTATTAAACAATGCAAGTTTGCTTAGATCAAGTTTTCAGTCTGACAAAACTAACACCATTAATTCTCAATCTAAAATAACAATAGATAAAACTGTAGAAAAACAAATAGAGTCAATTGCAAATTCTACTAATGATGGTAGTATAATTGAAATTGTAGATTATTATTATGTTAATTAGTTCGAGTTAACCCTTCTCCAAAGTAAGTTGTCTTTACCACAAACTAAGTGGAATCATCTACCCTTCTCTTTTTTTAAAATAATTTTTCAAATAATTTGTATTTTGTATACAAAGAATTGGAAATAAATAAAAACTCATTTTCTTTTCTCTAATTTCACATTAAATTAGGCTGTTTTTCGAATATAGTCAAGTGAAACTGTCATCTATTCGAGTCTGATAGGAAATAATAGTGTTACTCATTATATTCTGATATGTTAAAACAGTGAAAAGCACCTTTAACAAAAATTAGCTACTTCCATAAAACAAGTTTCATGTTTTTAAATTAAATTTTATATAGATATTAAAAAAAAGCTATTTAAAAGAAATTTGTTCTCACATCACCTTAAGCTATGTTAAATTGAATGATCAGATTAAAAGAGAAAAAATTTAAAGCTACACTAATGGAAAAATTAAAACAACTAAAGAAATAAGATTAAAAAGCAACAACAAAAATTAAAAAAGTTTTTTAGTTCGGCTAGTAATTGGTTATTTCAGCTATTACTCGCATCCAAGCTACTTGCTATCCCAGCTATTACTTGCTATCCCAGCTACTACTTGCTATCCCGGCTATTACTTGCTATCCCGGCTATTACTTGCTATCCCAGCTATTACTTGCTATCCCGGCTATTACTTGCTACTCCAGCTATTACTTGCTATCGCAATTATTAATTGCTATAATTTCATACAATTATAATTCATACAAAATCATTAATCATCTAAAATATTATAAAGATTTGATAAAAATATTTATAATATATAAATATTATAGATATTTTTAAAAATATTTATAACATTTAATAAAATATTTTATTATTATATATAATAAAAACTACTTAGTTTATTTCAACTATTTATTTTGTTTAAGTCATTTTTTTAGCAAGTTTTTTTTTGAAACCCTTAAAACTGAACAATTTAAAAGTAAAAACTTAGATTGTGCAACACAAATTACTCTTAGAAACAATATAAGATTAAAAAAAAAAAATTCTTTTTGTAACGAATGTTAATATGCATTTATAAAAAAGAATCCAACAGTGTTTGCAATGACTAACACGATTTTAATAATGATTCAATAGCATTAGTTATTAGTAATTCAATATTTATTTTTATTCTTTATTAAGATTTGTTCTTGCAAATTCTTATTAAGATTAAAAGATTCTTAAGAAGAAAAGTTGATTTTACACTAGTTTTTTATAAAACAAACTTTTTATGTAGATTTTAAAAAAAAATATGTCCTAGTTTATGTTTTTAATAAAGCTTTTATCAAATATCAAAACACATGTGTTTTAATTATACAAAAAAAATCACTTTAAACAATCTTTTTTAATAATTGTAAAAATGGTGCATTCAATGGTCACAATGCAATCACAAACTATAATAAAATCAACGCACTCATAATGAAAAACCAATTGTTATAAAATATCAAAACTCAAACCCAGTAAATACTGTTGACTGTAAACAACCAGTAAATATTGATGACTGTAAATTGTAAATAACATTGAATACATTTATATTTTACCTCTTTGCGCATTTTTTCCCACTCAGCTTTGTTCTGTTTAGTTTGAGTGTCTATGACTCGCTCCTCGAGAGACTCTACATCATCTGTATTATCACCATTAAAGAGGTTCATAACGTCATCTTGATTTGGATTATCAGTAATTTTTAAACGCCAAATACCTTTCGGATTTTCACCTTCAATCAAATATTTATCAAATAGTTTTACCTTTAATCAAATATTTATTAAAAAGTTCATGAAAAAAATAATAATAATAATATTTTATGATAATTTTTTACTCTTGTTTCCTCCAAATATAAAATATAAACATAAGGTAAAAAAAAGAAAGCTAATAATAAGGTAAAGTAAACAAAAAAAGTTACGTCAAAAAAGTATCATCAAGGGAGATACACCAGAGGAGTATCAGTGAATTTGAACTTACCCCAGTTATAAACAGTCATAAAACTCCATTCATCTAAACCTTCATCAGAGTCATCATATTTTCTGGGACTCAACATTTGACTTTTTGTATCCTTTGGAGAAATCAAATCTATACTGACGTCTCCTCGACGTCTATGAACAAAACTGACTGTCAAAACCACATGCTCAACTTTTGCAATTTGTGCTGAGCTGCTTTCACATGCAACTGTAGGAATGTTAATAAATAAAGAGTCCCCTCGTGGAATATCCCTGAGAAAAAATATAATAAAAACTTAAAGAAGTACTTAAAAAAGTAAAGTGCATTATTAGGAAAAAGACCAATTTAAATGAAAGAAATAAAAATCTTTTTTACTGGTGATCGAATCCTGAAGCAGCTGTGCATTTTCTTTGGGCAGGCAAGTTTTTCCAACTTTGAGCTGCATTCACCATTGCGTTTGCATCTAATCTTCCAAAACCAAATTTATGATTAAAGTGGAAACCAGCACCATTTCTTTTCCATCCTTCATCAACTGGAGAAGTTATTTGTGCAGTATGTACAATAAGTGCTTGAACATCTCTCCAAGTCAACAATGGACTAGTAATGAAAAAAAAAATGAAAAAATGTCAATTTTAAATACATGTTCTAACCTTTATAGTGAGTAGAAAGGATATTATAAATCTGTTAATAAAACATGCAAAATTATAACAAAAAAATCATAAGGTCCAAATACTAACTTATCTAATTATTTGATAAATGCAAAACTAAATTACACTTCATTAAAACTAGATTATACTTCATCAAAACTTACTACAGTCTCAAACACTGTAAACAAACATTTTTTTATAATAATCCTAAATAAATCTAAATTTGAATTAAAATTTATGATGATCACAAATCATAAAAATTTTGGATTATTATAATTCCATAGTTTACTTACAAGTTAAAAAATCGTTTGGCTAAAAATCTTCAATATAAAGGACTACAATTTTTTAATTTAAAAAACCTAATTATCATTTATATATATAGATATATATATAAATATTCAGCATATTTATAAATATGTACAATAAATATATATATTTATACAACAAAATTAATAAACATCCATAACACAAATGTTCAACTAGATTCAGAAATTGTCAGAACATTTTATACATTTAACCACGGCAACCAACACAAATAAGATAAACATAAATCTTCTTATAGTCTCTCTCAAGACTGTTTTTTATCCATAAGCAATTTCATATGTAAGACTCTTAAACAGTTCCATAAAAAGTAAGAGAAAATTTTAAAAGTACTCCAGAGCAATCGTTTCTTCCACTTTCACAGGAGATCCTGGGATTTTCATACCCAGCATTTACTTGAACACGTTGAGTTCCTGTTTCTTCTTGAACTTGCACTTTTTTACTAATTTTTCCATCATTCTGAGTGTTTCCTGTATTAAATTTTTTACGTTTGCTCCTTAATTGATTGTAAAAGTTTAGTATTTCTTTTTTTTCTTCTGAAAGCAAATCTTTTTTTTCTCTAACAACATCATCATCTGAATCATTTAATTTACTTTCATCATTTTCATTTTTATCAGGAGCATTCTGAAACTTTTCATCAAATACTGCAAGATTTCCTTTTTTAACTGGAACAACATACTCGTCATACTGTTTGTTTGTTTTATCTGAGATCTTGTTTTCAATTTCATTTTCTTTCTCCTCATTTGAAACTTCAGGTATATCACTTCTATCATACTCAATTTTATCTGTAATTGGTTCTACATTCCCACTTTTGTAAGAGACGATATTTTGAATATTTGTATTATCTTTATATTTTGTTGCAACATTATTTTTTCGCACACCAGTTGGATAAGGAACATCAAAGTTTGGGTTCTGAAACAAGTGAAAATAAAAAAAATTATTATAAAAATAATTTGTGAGTTTGTATTTAACAATATTTATTTATAAAACATTTAAACATATTTATATAGAGCTTTCTAACCCCAAAAAAAGATGAAAAAGGTGACTATTTTTAACAATTCTGGTGTCTTATTTTAACCTTTGATATAAGAATTTTGTCTGTTTAAAAAGTTTATATTCAAAATTTTAATTTGAATCCTTTTTACTTTTGAATAATTTTCTCACTTTTAATTTTTATTTTTAGTTTATTATAAATTTAATATTACTTAAACTTTAAATAATTAAATTATTATATGAATACTTGATCAAAAATGAATATATATATATATATATATATATATATATATATATATATATATAAATATATATATATATATATATATATATATATATATATATATATATATATATATATATATATATATATATATATATATATATATATATATATATATACACATCCAACCCTCAGAATTAGGGTTGGGATTCGGCAATGCCGACATAACTGCTGACCTGAAAGTGTTTGAGGTCAGCAAAAATTGATACAAATTATTGCCGACTTCATTTTTCCTAATTCCGAGGGTTGTACATCTGTAACAACATCTCTAATATTATCTAAACATGCATTCATAGTTCATTCATTAGGTGCCAATGAATGAACTTTGAGGATCTTTTTTTTTTTTACGTTTTTACTCTGAATATTGTTTTTTTTTTTGCGAAAATTTTCGCAAAAAAAAAAGATTTTCGGCTAAACTTCTCCAGAACAGGGGGTACCGCTGCCCAAATTTTTTTCCTAGAATGGTTTTTAAGTGAATTGTTGAGAAAAATGTATACATTTTTTTTCTCTTTATTGTCTCTCCTTTGATATAGTATGCATTACAATAAGTATGAACTTACAATAAGCCTCATTTTTTCCCATATTTCTTTATTTTGCTTTGTTTGAGTATCAATTACTTGCTCCTCTAATGATTCAACGTCATTTGCTTCACTATTGAAAAAACTCATTGCATCATCTTGGTTTGGATTATCAGTAACTCTTAACAGCCATACTCCATTTGGATTTTCACCTATTAAGGAAAAAACTCCATTAATTATGTAATTTTTGCTGAAGCTCTCTAATTCAGTTATATTAATCAGTTTTAAAGTAAATCACTTTGAGCTGCAGGTATATTGTTAATTTTTACCCCAATTATAAACTGTCATAAAATTCCACTCGTCTAATCCTTCATCAGAATCATCATATCTTCTGGGACTCAGCATTTCACTTTTTGTACCATTTGGAGAAACTAAATCAATACTAACATCACCACGGCGACGATGCACAAAACTTACTGTCAATATAACATGTTCTAACTTTGTAATTGGATTTAAACTACATCCATACTCAGTAGTTTGAATTTTGATGAGTAACGAATCTCCTTTTGGAATATCTCTGTAAAAAATAAATAAAAATAGTAATTTAAGTTAAAAAAAAATTAAAAAAAAAAATTAAATTTTTTTAAAAAAAACCTACTGATGGTCAAAACCAGCTGCAGCTGTACACTTTCTCTGTTGTGGCAAATTAACCCATGTTAATGCAGCATTCACCATGGCTTCTGCATCAAGTCTCCCAAATCCAAACTTATGATTATAATGATAACCTGCACCATTTCTTTTCCAGCCTTCGTCTACTGGGGATGTTATTTGTGCAGTTTGGACAATTAGTGCTTGAACATCTCTCCAAGTTAATAATGGACTACAAAACAGAATATTCTTAAAATTTATAGACTCAGTAATACTATTACCGTATTTCCTTGATGTAGTTATTTGAATAAACTCATTAAAATCATGATGATGTGTGCATTAAAGTATTAAGTCTAATCTATTGATCATCATTTTTTTAATTTTAATATTTTTTTTGGGGGGGGGTTGGGATCAAAATTTTTAAATAAAAATTTTAAAAGTGTAAAAATTACTTTAAGAGCTCGCAAAAACAGAATACATCACCTGTTGAAAAAGTTGTCTTTGGTGAACCACAAGATGAAGATATTATAACCATGATGGATCTTGTTCTCAAATTATGTAAAACTACTTTAGACTATTAAACTAGAATAAGCTTTATTCATATAAAAATTCTGGAAATAAACTTAATAGTTATCAAAACTTGTAATATATATAAATTTTGTTTCAAACAATTATTCTAAAAACTAAATTTAAATATTCTAAAAACTTATAATCTCTAGACTGATATCTTTAAATAAGCGCTAATATATAATATACAAAAATACAGAAGTATAAATTTAAAATATATATATATATTTCAAGAAAATACGGTAATTTTAAAAAACTGAAGCATACACTAATAAATACAAGTATTGGGGCATGCTTTTCAAAATACTAAAAACAGTAAAAGAATTAAGAAATAAGTTTTTTCTTTTTAGACAAAAAATCATACTTTGCTTCCAATGTTAAAGCAATAATACCAGCTGCTAATGGTGCTGAAGCTGACGTTCCTTTAAACTCTTCAGTGCATTGATGATATAAATCTGTTGTTACCTAAATGTTGCAATAAAGAAAAAAATTATTATTCAGAAAAAAAAAGGTAGATATATTATAAAATGATAAAAACACTATATATAGTTTCTAGAACATTGTTTCTAAAACTGCACTATGTGCCACTAGTGGTCATATGTGTGCCAAAAGTGGTACACAGTTTAAGAAAAGCTGCTACACCAAGCTATATATAGTTTGTTTACATATAAATATTTATTTATATAAATGTCATATAAAAAAAGATTTGATAGGCAAAATACCATTATTTTTGTGCACTTAGGTGTGGTAGGTAATTTGCGTCCAAATACATTTTTAAAAGTAATTTTAAAAGTTTTAAAGTGCTAATATTAAACTAGACATTTTTTTCAGAAACTTAACAAAATATATACTTTTTTTTGCCATGATAGTTAATTTTAATTAGTTCATAATAAAGTCATATACATCTTGATTGTACTTGTATTTAATAGCATGGTGTCAAATGGTTCAAATGCTACAAAAAAATCCTAGCAAACAACCACTGCAATATTTTCCTAAAATCTAAACATACATAAACATTGGATTAGCTGACTGTATTCTGATTAGGCAACACATAACTAGTAATTACACCTTGCATGCATGGATGGGATGACACATTGTTGGTATTTTTTGACATCTTTAAAAGAGATTTTAAAATAAACATTTTGTTTAAAATTTTATCATTATTATAAAATATTATTTTTTATAAACTTTTATCATTTTGAAATAGTACTACCTACTAATATATTTGCACCAAAAATTAAATTTATTTTTAATGAGCTATTTATATACACAGTTATATATTATATATATATATAACAGACACTTAATATAAAACCAAATGTTGAATCCACAGGAAAATATCTTTAGCAAAAATGAGGGCACTTGATGTTCTAATAAATTAAAACATTGTGTCTTATTCTACAAAGTGTGTGTTGTGTAATTTAATTGAATGCAATTTTGTTGAATCAATATGCAATTTAGAAATATCAATAGCTTTTGGCACAAAAGTTTGTTCCTAAATATTAACATGGAGAGGGCCAAAAGTGTAGCAGAGTACTGCACCCATTTTTTAAGAATAACCCTTGTATATGCCCTTGTGTAATAGCCATTGATTAAATATACCTTTTTTACTATATTCACCTTCCAAGATTGAGGGCACCACCACAGTTAAGGAGACTACACTTTTTTAATATGTATTTATTTTTTTATATGTATATATGTACATTTTTTATATGTGTGTGTGTGTATATGTATATATACATATACACGCACATACTGTAGCAGATTTAGATGTACACTGTCCTAATATATTTTACATTTAAAATGTCAACTTTATGCAGACAGTTATAATCAGAAATTAGATAAGTTTAAACTTTTTAGCTCAGTATTTTAAAATTAATTTTATAAATAATAAAAAAAATTGAAATCTAAAAAAAAAAAAAAATCATCACTATGACATCATCATCAGATCAATCATATTACAAAAATTTTATAATACATTTGATAATGTGCAACTCCTAATTTAACTTTATCTTCTTTAATAAGTTAAACTTAGCATGATTTTTTATTTTTCTTAAAAGGTATGAGAAATTTTACAACATTTGGTGTTATTTTTTGTTGTGTTTGATAATGGCAAATTGTTGTGCTGATTTGACAAAGTTCTAAAATTTTTATTATTCAGAGAATTTAGCACACAAATCTTTTTTCTTTTTTTTTAATTTCTTATTAATAATATATTTTTTTATTTGTTAATGTATTTTTGTTATGTATTATGAATAAAAATACAAAAACAAAAAACAATGACATAAAAAATTAAAATAATACAATTAATAAACAATGTATGTGAAAACTTGTCTTGAGTGTTAATTTTTCACCTTTAAAGTCAGTAGTGTTAAACACATGTAAAAGACATTTACTATTGTTATTGTTAAGGTAATAAAATTATTAGTCATATAACAGTTTATTAATTATATTTTTAATTAAAAAAACTCTATTTTCTAAATAATGCTTGTAAAACTTAATTCAACATCAAAATTTATAAATATAAAAAAATAAAAAAAATATTAAAAAAAACAAAAAATATTAAAAAATATATAGGCTTATTTTGATAACAATTTTGTAAAGATAAAACAATAAAAAATACCATTTTGTTTTCTCGTCCTTCTTTATGTGATGCACCATTAAATGTGACAGCAAGAGTTGATGAACATTTCTCTGTATAATAGGCTGATAATCCATGGTCTCCTATGCAGCCTATTGATATTGTAAATATACTTGTTGTATACCCATCACAGTTACAGTCATCATCTGTTAAACCACCATTACCAGTTGCCCATACAAAAATTGATCCTAAACGATTTCTTCCCTATTGACAAATTAAAAATCAATTAAAAGACTTTTTTTTTTACATACTTTTTTTTTACTTAATTTTTATCTATATAAAAAAATTAATCATAACTTTGTAAACATTTTAAAACCTTTTGACACAAGTGTAATATTGAACATATAACAAAACATTTTCACAAGAGCAGAACTAAATAAGAAATTTTTTTATAAAAATATTTGTCTAACTTGTTCAGCACCAAGCCTCAGTGCTTTTGCAGCCATTGGTCCTGGTTTTCCAAATGTTTTTCCATCATCTTTTGGTCCCCAACAATTTATGTAAATATCAATATGGTCTCCTCGAAACCCTAAAGCACTAGCTTCTAATGCATCAGTTGCTTGACCATCTAGCATACGTACTCCTAAATAAATTTACAAAAAAATTCAGCACAGTTTTTTATTATTTAATTACAACTATCTAAATAACAACTATTTTAATTTACATAAACTTTATTGAACCAATTACATCTAAAAACTAAAAAACAAAAATGACCTCCAATTTTAGCATTGTACGCAACCCCAGTACCACAGATACCATTGTTAGCAATTGCAGCTGCCTCTCCTGCACATCTGGTACCATGACTAAAAACATTAGTAATTTAATATTTTATATGATATATTTAATTACTTTTCTCTATTAAATTAAGAATAAGATAACCATGATAACATAAACACATTTGTTCACTAAAATAACTGCTCATAAAATGTTTAACATAATTTCTGCTTAAGTTGCAAATTTTTTGTAGTAAAATATTATAAAAACTTTAAATGTCTTAAATCCAAGTACCCTAGGTACTTGGATCTTAGATATTTAGGTAACTTATTTCCTATGGCACTTGTTCTTGCAATTTAGGTAAAAAAAAATTAAATTTTTAATGGTTTGAATTTCTTGCTACCATCCATTTAGTCTTTTAAAATTTTTTCATGACAGTGTTGATGCCTTTTAAATGGTTTTTAAAATTTTTTTCATGACAGTGTTGATGCCTTTTAAATGGTTTTTAAAATTTTTTCATGACAGTGTTGATTTTAAATGGTTTTCAAAATTTTTTTCATGACAGTGTTGATTTTAAATGGTTTTTAGAAATACCTTTTATAACTTTTTACAAACTACATAACTACACAAAGTCTAAATTTGATTTATATCAAATTTAGACTTTGTGTAAAAATATAATATCATCATATGGTCTTAAAATTCATGACCAAACAATTAAATCATATGAAGCTAACTGCTTTAAATTCTTAAAAATACTCAATAATCCAATACTAAAAATAATAAATGCATAATAAATAATAAATTTATTTCTTGGTTATAAACCATACAAGCCATTTAACTAAATGAAAAATTATACAGTTTAGGGGCAAGAAAAAATTATATTTTGCAAATTATCACTTAATAAAATCATTAACTTAATTATTACTTAATCAAATCAATCATTAAAACACAAATTGTTGAAACACAAACGCAGAGATCTTATTCACAAATATAAACTGGAATCACCAAAAATAAGTAATGTACCACAAAGATCCTAGAAATATTCAACTAAAGGCAGAACAACCTTTTTCATAATAAGAGTTGCTTACCTTAGGAATTCATTACCAGGTTATGTCATTGACAGCAAAGCATGAATAGTTTTAAAAATAGCCTGGAAAATGAAGATACTTTTCGATTAAATGTCAGTGGCTTAATACAATATAAGCCACTAACATTTATGAATATATCTATAAGTATATTAACGAATATACTTTTTGATTAAATGAGTGGCTTGAATAGGTTTCAATAATTCCATTTTCTTATATATATATATATATATATATATATATATATATATGAAACTATGTAAGAGTTGAAGCAAACATACAAAAAAAACTAATAACAAAGAAAGCTAAAAACTATGCTGTTCCTAAGTTACCATCTCATTCATTAGCAATAAACATTATTGTCAGCAGCAGATGAGATGATGACACAGACAACACAACTTAATTTTGTTTTGTCTGTTTGTTTTACTAATATTACAATTAAATAGTTTTAAAAAAAGACAATAGAAGACAATTCAGTGTAAGATAATCATATAACCAGATAATTTTATTTGTATTTCTAACATCATAATGAGCAGTGCATACTTATAAACACAGAGAAATATAAAGATCTAAATATACAAAAAAAAAATTGCATGTCACAAAATTGGATATGAACATCTTCTTTCCCACTGGATACAAAATCTAGCGGTAAAAAAAAATCTCAAGGAGAAAACTATCAGACTATTATTTCATATCATTTTGTAGAAATGTTGTTTGTTACAATATGGTGATTATAACGACAATGGTGATGCTTAATTCAGCCAAGAGAAACATTAAATATAATCAAACGATTATTATTATTAGGACAATAGAAGAAACTGAAAAAAAATTTAATAAAAAAACAACTAATACTTTGGCCAGTATAAACCTTGCACTGGAAACAAGTTAAACACCTTATCTCTAATTGTGTTAAACATGATACATGATCAATGATAAATTTAGCTTCTATAACAAAACTTGAAACTGAAATGATGCAATAAATATATATATGTATATATATCAACTCTTGGAATTAGGGTCGGCATTCTGCAAAGCCGACCTAACTGCCAACCTTATAGTGTTTGAAGACAGCAAAAAATTGCTGACCTCGTTTTTATGTTTTATAGTAAGACTTATGTACCAAATTTTTTTTGTATATATATATACTCTTGCATGGTGGTCTTTAAGTTTTTACCATAAAATGTTAGTTTAAGATTTTTTTAAAGACCGGAAAAACTTTTTAAAATTTTTTTAATTTTTTGATAGACTGCCTGCCCTAACGAATTCCTCAGTCAATGTAGCAGCACTCTGTTGCGAGTCAAGCTAATTGTTAGTCTATGTAGCAGCACTCCGTTGCAAGTCAGGCTATAAGATAGCAACACTCTGCGCATGTTTTACAGTAAAAAAATAAAAATAAAAACATTCAGAATATTTTTATTTTTTAAAAAATAAAATAAAAATATTCAGAATGTTTTTAAAAACATTGTGGTCTTTTTTTCTTTTGCGTTTTTGTGGTTTTTTAAAAAAACATTAAATTAATTAGTTTCCTCAATTAAATTAATGTGAATTGTTATTATCTAACCTTAATTTTGTCAGTCTAAATACCTTAGACAAGTGAAGAGCTATTTTTTTTACCACAAACTGTAAATCTAAACCCTTTACTATATATATATATATATATATATACATATATACCTATATATATATATATATATATATATATATATATATATATATATATATATATATATATATATATATATATATATATATATATATATATATATATATATATATATATATATATATATATATATATATATATATATATATACATATATATATATAAGTGTAAGATAATCAGACACCCAGATAATTTTAATAAATTTAAATAATCTGGTTATTTGATATCTATCTTTTCTAAATTTTGAAACATTGTTTATTCTTACCAATTATCAGCATCGCTATCACGTGGCATTGGATCATTGTCATTATCATTAAGGTCAATACTTGCTGTTTGATCCTAAAATAAATGAAAATCAAAATCAAGCAGTTGATTATCATCATTTAACTTTATAAACGATACACAAAACTGTTATTATTATTAGCGGTACAAAATTTCAACCCATTATGTCCCTTTTGGGACATTACCACATGTCTTAACAGGGATATGTTGTTATGCCCCTGGAAGTACCATAATCATCTTGTCTCTCCACACATCAGTCTTGTTCTTTAAAGTTTCAGAGTTAATGAATTGAAAGCAAAAAAATGTGTAAAGTTTGATAATCAAATTCATTATTAACATTACTTTCATTCCAGAACATATAAACACAATTATTTGCTTTGTTTACACTGCAGTGGATAGTGGTTTAAAATTATTGCCTCTTAATAATATTTTTATTTACTTTGCTTTTGTGTATTTTTACTGTATTTTTAATAATTGTATTTTTTCCCTGAAAGCTCTTATTCTTTAACTAATGTTGATTTTTATGAGTTTTACAAAGATTTTTTTGTCTTTGAAACAAGAAGCCATACAGACGCATTCAATTGGTGATTAAGAGTAAGATCATGGATAACTTGATATGCATTTTCAAGTTGTGGTTTTTTTCTAAATTATCACAAGAACCTGTTCTTACACCATGTGGGGATAAAACAATTGGGATTTTTCGTAATGTTTGAAAATGAATAGAAGAAACTTCTTAATAGAAAAAACTTCTAAATAGAAGAAACTAGTCTTTCATATATTCTAGATTTTTTAAAACTCATATAAATTTTTCTCTCTTTATTAATATAAAAAGCTTTATTATTTAATTTCTTAGATAAACTTTTTAAGTTTATAAAAAAATTTTCTTAAATAATGTAGTCAATAATTATGTAATTTAAAATTATTTACAATAAAACAGGATATACTTTTAGTGATAGATGCAAAAGAGTGTACATACACGAGTATGTACACTCTGTTGTACATACTCATGGACAAAAGTTTTTTATCTGTAGTTTTTATACATACAGAGTGTATAAAACAATGAGTTAACAAGTCCATATAAATCTGTTGGTGTAATAATGGCATTCTATGACTAAATAATGTGTGTATATATATATATATATATATATATATATATATATATATATATATATATATATATATATATATATATATATATATATATATATATATATATATATATAATATGTGTGTGTATGTGTGTGTATAAATAAATTATATTATAGCTAGACTCACATAGTTTGCTTCCAGGTCTGGGTGTGTCCAATCTAAGCCTAAAGTAAAAAATTAAATCATAATAAGAAAAAAATGTTTTTATATTTTTCAAATATTTTTAAAAAAATTAAAAATTATGTTCACAAATATTTTAATCATAAAACACATTATACTCAAGAAAACCTAGAAACAGCTGTAAATAAAGTGACAAACTATGGATTTACCATAAGAAAAGCTGCTAAAACATAACATTCCATTAGAAACACTATTTAAAAAATTTAAATATGGGATCAAGTTCTTGATCCAGACTTGAACTAGACTTGATAGTTCAAAAAAAAAGTTTATTTGTTCAAACAATTACTTATATGGCTAACTGGAGGAACAACACAGAGGTGATAAAATAATGTTAATGAAAAAAATAAAGAACCTGGTGGTGAAGACACTGTAATGGTTATTAACGAATGCGTTTTAGATATTATTTAGAAATAAAAACATTATGTAGTGTTTATAGTCACTCCAAATCGGGAGTTTATTCTCACCTTGTTACGATACAAATAAATCGTATAAAATCAGAAAACCAAGTTATTTACTGCATAGTGTTGATCAGGCCTAGGACTTTTCCAGAAAGCTGGATAGTATGTTCTGTTAAAACAAAGTTGCAATCAGGTTTTCTTCTATAATATTTAAAAAACGTTGATAGTCAATGACTATGAATGCTTTTTAAACATTTTTGCATTATAAACGACTATTATAGATTTATAGAAGACATAGAAGGCATGATAAAAAAAATTATAGAATGACTATTAGTCATTGACAATAATCTACAAAGTTGCAATATCATGTTACAAACTTGTAGATTACATTTTATTAACTTGAGCAAACTAGTTTTTGAAGTAACATGTTGAACATGTTAGTTAAAAATTAGTAAAACATTTGGGTCACAATCAAAGGGTTGATGTTTAAATTCTCTTGTGTTTCTAAAACTACTGTTCTTAATCTGTTTCTCTGTGCATCCCCCCTTGTTTATAATTGTTTATGTGACACAATCATTGCAAAAAGTGACCAACAGAGCTGCCCAGTTACGAAGACTTGGGAGATGTGAAAATAGAATCAGATTGTAGATGATATCATTGGGTAAGAATCATAAAAGAATGTAAAGATTATTAGGTATGATGAATAAAACCATAACTCATGCTCTAGTCATCCTAATTAAATGATAAAACAATGGCCTATGAATTAACAAGTCCATATTAATTTGCTGGTGTAATAATGGCTTCCATGACTAAAAACATAGTACAATATAAAACAATAAAATAATCAGATAATAAAATTGCAAGAAAAATTATAATAAATGATAGTTTGGACAATACAAAAAAAAAAAAGAAAAAATGCGCGCCTCTCTAGGGGCAAACTCTGAATCTTCAGTTTATGACGCAGCGCGCTTTTCCACCATGCTATAGCGTTGGTATGCTTTCTCCTAAAAAAATAGACTTAAAAATGTGGTGCAATTTATGGTCTAAACACTAGACAGTAATAATTTGAAAACTAATTAACACCAGTGTCACAGCAAGATTTATAAGTATCCTTAATGTAGCAAATATATAAATGCACTGCAATCACTAATAATTTCAGTGCATTCCTGAGAAGGAGGATCACCATTCACAAAATTGCTGTTTTGGGGAGTCCAAGACTTGCACTAACTCCACTTATCAGGGGCTTGTCCTTGCAACAGATCTTTCCGCCTGCACTCTGTTCTGCACCTCTGATACTAATGTGCTTAATCGTTTTCTCTGCACAGCCCCCCTTGTTTAAAAATGCTTGTGTTTATGAGTTTAAGATTGAGAGCTATAAATAAATATTTTTAAAAATGAGAACCTTCCTTGACTGAGTGGACACAGGAACAATGGGGAGATGAACTTATGAAGTTAAAAAAAAATTACAATACAGATACAATAAAAAAATTTAGAATTGTGATCAGTTTTTAAAAAAACCCAAAAAAATTTTAAAACCAAAAAAGTCCCAATAAAACCCATTTTTTAAAAAACTCTGAATTTCCTCCAACCCTGATATCAATGGATATGATTTCTTAAATAAAAATATGATAATATAAACAAATATAACTAATACAACCTAAGAAAACCTAAGGAGTCACTATAGTCAAGGAAGCTACTGTTATTTTTTAAATTCTCTATTGTTATGATAACCCTCTCTCTTAAAAAAAAACAAGGCTGCTGCATAAAGAAACAAGTTGACTTGATAGAAAAAAGCAGAAGTAATTTCAATTTACAAATCAGGTCCCGGTGAGCAGCTGAGTTAATGAATTATTTGGAAAATAAACTTTTAAACTGCACAATTTGGATAATGCAAGTATCAATCTGTAAAACTTGATCCAATTTTACTTATATACAACATAACCAAAAAAACAATATAACCAAAAAAATAACATAACCAAAAAAACAACATAACCAAAAAACAACATAACTAAAAAACAGCATAACCCAAAAAACAACATAGCCAAAAAAAGAAGACACAATCACCTAAGCTCTGGATAAAGCCAATTTTTCTTAAAATCTAAAATTACACCATACAGACACTTTATATAAATTAACTCATTTCCCCCTCCAATGGCAAATAGACTAATCCAGTCACAAAAGCATTTTTTTTCTCTTTTATACTTTATTACTTTTAACTCTCAATATTATAACACAAAAACACCAAGTCAGCAGACAAGAGCACTAAAGGGAAAAACAAAGCAAATTTAGTACATGTTGGTATTTAAACCTCATGAAGGACATAAAATTATTATATTTTATGAATCCTGACAAAACTAGACCTAAAAAGTTGGATAAAGAATTAAAAAACTTTAAAATACATTTTTAATTAAATATCAATAAATTTAAAACAAACTATGTTTTTAAAATAGAAAAACAACAATGTCTTTTTACAATTTGAATTAAAATATGCTTTGAATGCCAACAAATTTTGTGATTAAAGTTTAAGACTTTTGATAAAGTATATTCTGTGGGCCATGCAGCATGTTTCCTGATAAAGTAAATTTTAAATTAAAACAAAGTAGAAAATTACCATCATCCAGCACTGATATAACGATTCCTCTGCCAGTAATGTTTTTCTTCCAAACAGGAACAACATTCATATCTACGCCAGCAGGGCCACTAGCCTGACCAGTATTTAGCTAAAAAAGAAATTTAATATAACAATAATAGTTTCAATTTTAGATTTTTTAATTACAAGTAATACTTTTTACATCTACAAATTTATAAATTTGATTTTTCGAAAAAGAAAAAAAAACATCATTAAAACCCCTCATTATCACTCACTAAATACCACATGTCCTTGAAGTAAGGATCATTTGGAATACCATCTCTTTTAACTCTTTCTAAGATTTTCTGCTGCTCTGCAAATTTTACCTAAATAAATTAATTTATAACTTGCTTTAAATCATTTTTTTACATTACCATATAACTAATAGAATCTCTTAAAATATTTAAAAAAGAGTCAATTCAGGAATAGAATTTCCTCAAGTATCAACCACTAGTAACACTAATAAGATTTTTTAAAAACAATTAAGTAAATTTAAATATTTAATAAATTTAATTTAGAAAGGTTTAAAGGGGTAAAAAAAAAAAAAAGGGGTTTAAAGAGTTTTTTTAAAAAAGAGAAAATTTACCTATATTACCTAAAATCCAGCAAAATATTTAGTAACGCTACATTAACCTTTGTTATTTAAAAAATAAACAATCAAAATTTGCAGCTTTAAATATTAACTTTTAAAAAATTAGAAACCAATAAATTTTACAAAAAGATGACTATAAAGAGAAAAAAATATTTTAGGGAGAAGTTGTGCTAGCTGCTTATTCCAGTAACTAAAATTGTTGATAAAACTAAAAGCCTACCTCATCTTCTAGATTAAGAAGAGCTGTTTTGTGTCTAGCTTTTTCTAACTCTCGCTCTCCTATTTCTTCATGCTTGAAATGATAGTGACCTTCAATATTTCCTATCTAAAATAAGCACAACAAATTAATTAATTTAATAATAAATTGTTAAAATTTATTGTTAAATTAAAATAAATCTTTTTTAAAATTGAGAATAAAATGTGTATTTGGAAGTTTAATATAAATATTTTAAAATAACACTTTTATAAAAGAACTGCTATTTAAATTGTTGAACATACTCATACTTTGTTTTAAAAATGCTGTGCTAGTAACTGACTGGGGCTGATAATTGACAAAAGTAAAGTTGGGATCAAATATGTGTTCAAATATGTGATGAAATAATGCGATCAAATGTTGTCTTTTTTGAATATGTATTGTATTTGATTAAAAACTTTTTTTAAATTTATATTTGATTGAAATATATAGTTTCGTAAAAGATTGTCCATAAAATATGCAACACAAAAAGAATTTATAGGCTTAAAGCCCTTTGAGTTAAACCACTGCGCAAAAGTAAATGGTCTTCTACTTCTATTTTTTAAATTCCTTTTGTGCCACATAATTTATGGATGATCCCTAAACTGGGATGACTGGTGTTATAAAAAACCAATGGCTTCATTTTTTTTTTTTTTTTTTTTTTTTTCTTGTAACAAATTAATTTTTTATTTTTAACACTTAACTAAATTAGAAATTTGTTTTTAAGAGAAATTTATTAAAAGACTTGTTTTTATTCTTCTATTTAGTACCATTTTATTGTTTTTCAAATTCTTTAATTGTACATCAAATAATTTCAGAAATTGTTTTTAATTACTTTATATCAAGTTGAAAAGAAAAATAAAAAAAATAAAAATTCTTATAAAAAACAGTAATAATAGTAATAATAAAAGTAACAGACTTTTGTTTTTATTTTATTTCTAATTTCTAATTAGATTAAGAATAAATGAATTTTAGATTAGGAATAGAATAAATGAGAATTAGCTAATTAAAGATTTAAACTAACAAACGAAATTAATAAAATTGATTATTTGGTTTTAAAAAATTTTTTAAAGAAATAATATTTGCATTTCTTAACATAAAAGTTATTTGTATTTGAAAAACTTAAATAATTGAATTTGTATTTAGGAATCTAGAATTAACATATTATATTATTGTATTAAATTTAAATATATATATATATATATATATATATATATATATATATATATATATATATATATATATATATATATACATATATATATTTAACGCCTTATCTCGAGTCAGGGAGATAAATGCCACCACTTTAAATACTTAAAAAGTGAATAAACAAATAAAACAAAAAAAAAAAAACAACAAAAAAACAAAAAATAAAATAAATAATACACTCACAGAAGGTTGAAATTAGTTAACATTCATATAAATAACTTATACATTTTTTACGGTGATATATAATTTATCACCAGCGATACTACTGTTGTTTCTATTAATCTTGATGTAGCAAGTAGTATTTCAATTTGATTTTGAGGACATATTTTTTAATTTTGTTAAAAGGGAATAACTTTAATTTATTTTGAATTTGATTCCAGTCCATTAATGCAGAGTATTTAAAGGAATGTTTACCATAGAATTTTGTATTATATGTTGGCACACTCAGTGTACCTCTACAAGAATTTCTTGTAAGTTGATAGCTGATTGAACTGCGTAGAGTAAACCATTTATTAAATATAGGAGGCAGCTTTTTGTTTAGGCAGCTGTGAATAAATAAACAATTTTCAATTTTAATTATATGATGTACTTTTAAAATTTGTAGTGCGTTAAAAGATGTGAATGTATGTGAATTTTTTGGTAGAAATTCAATAATCCTAATTGCTTTTTTTTGCATAATAAATAGGCAATTTACAATACTTAAGTTTTGACTCCATGATAGCAGGCAATATGTAAGGTGAGAGTGAAACAAAGCATAGTAAATAGATTTTAGAGTTTTTTGTTGTATAAAATTTCTTAGCTTTGACAGAATGGCAAGGGATCTATTCAACTTATTAGATAAGTCATTACAATTTAAAGTCCAGCTTAAGTTTTTGTCTAACCTTATACCCAAGTAGTATACAAATTTTTTGCACCAAAGTTTTTTCACATTTAACTTAATTTTGAGCTGTTGATCTAATTTTTTGTGACGACTTTTAAATAATATTAGATCAGTTTTTTTTAGAGTTAAGGGAAATTTTGTTGGCATTGTTTTTTAAGATCATTGTTAATATATTGTTGATTTTTTTTATAGACTTATTAAAATAGAGAAGGTTTGTGTCATCCACAAAGTGTTGGACTCTACAAAATTTTAAAGCTTTAGACATGTCATTTATATAAATAAGAAATAGTAAAGGGCCAACGACAGATCCCTGAGGAACACCTACTTTGATATCGTTCAGGTCTGAGCTTACTCCACTAATGGATACTAATTGAGTTCTATTAGTAAGGAAAGATTTGAACCAAGAGTTTGAAACTCCTCTAATACCATAGTAGGATAGCTTATAAAGTAGAATGTCAACATCTACAGTGTCAAATGCCTTTTGAAGGTCGATAAAAATGCCACATCCAAACATTCCTTTATCCAGAGAATCTTTAATTTTTTCTGTTAGACTTAGTAAAGCAAGTGGTGTAATTTTTTCTGTTAGACTTAGTAAAGCAAGTTTGTTCGAAAACTAAACTGTAATTCAAAAAACAGTTTATTTTCATTGAAGAATTTGTCTAAGCGGTTAAACATTAGTCTTTCAAGAATTTTATCAATGTTAGAGAGGAGGGAAATTGGTCTGTAGTTTGACATTAATAGTTTTGAATCAGTTTTAAAAATAGGTATAACTTTGGCTGTTTTTAGGTTTTCTGGGAAAATACCACTTGAGAACGAAATATTAAAAATATTAGAAAGAATTCTTACTAATATTTTTAATATTTAACCATTCGGTCCAGAAGCTTTATTTGCGTCTAAGGAGTTGATAATTTTTGAAATTTCATGTTCGTCAGTAGGTTTTGTAAAGAAAGATTTTTGAGAAGGATTTGATAAGTAATATGTGAAGTGATTTATGGATGAAGGAACTGTTATCTGGGCATCCTTACCAATGTTAGTAAAGTAGTTGTTGAAAGCATTACAAATATCAAAAGGGTTTGTTATTGTTTTATTGTTATGCATGATTACATTAGGAGTTGTTTAAGAGTTACTTTTAATATTAATAATGTTTTTGATACCTTTCCAGGTTGCTTTTACATTTTTTATGTTTTCAGTAAAATAATTATCGTAGTATTTTTTTTTTTTTTTGCTTTCTTTGAGTTTAGATTGAAGGTTATTACGAAATATTTTATACTCATTATGAAATATGGTTTTATTTGTTTAATTTTTAGACCTAATATATATTTTAAAGAGATTATTTTTGTGCTGAATAGAGTGTTTGAGTTCTTTTGATATCCATGGTTTAATCTTGAATTTAATGTTTTGTTTGTTACTCTCGAGTTCCTAATAAACGTCCTTTCCCCCTCCCCCGTTTATTAATTTATACTTTTTATCAACTAAAAAATATATATCTCAAAAGTAAAAAAAAAAAATTAAGTGAAAATCGGCCTTAAAAATTTGAAAATAATTTTCAGTCACCGATAAAAACTAAAACTTTCAGTGTAAACAGGTTTTACAAATTGTCGACCTATTAAATCTCGATTTGCTAAAAACTTTTAGTTTATTTCTCGGTTTTAATTATAGGATTTAATATGCCGAATATAAATTTTATTCTTTGAAAAGTATAAAACTTATACTTTTCAAAGAATAAAATTTATATTCGGCATATTAAATCCTATAATTAAAACCAAACCCCCCCCTCCTTAGTTAAAACCCCCCGTTTATTAGATTTTGACTAAAATTCCCACCCATCCGTTTATTCCCACCCCCCGTTGTATTCAGTTTCTTTCCCATGTTAAAAGATCTTTGAAATTAGGATTTAACTTTGTCCTATAGTCTACTTTGTCCTATGGTCGCTGCCTAAAGCAACTTAAATAATGTTTGCTTGCATCCTTGTTTGCAGGAAATTTGTTTAAAAATGTAATACTTTATAAAAAGTACACTTTTATATCTTTATGTGTTAAAACTCTATGGCAGCAACGTTTACGAAGCATCCAAGGTGTCAAAAATCTTCATTAAAATCTCTAACATGTTTTTCGGTAACAAATGTTAAATTAAATTTTATTAATGTAACTCGAATAACTTTCACTGATCAAGTTTTTGTATATTATCATTTTTTTAATTTTAAATATAAATGTTTTGATGTTTGAAATTTTTTTGTTTACGTTTTACTGTGAAATAAAATGTAATTGGTTTATCGAATTTATCCGATTCGCTATTTGTAAAAGAGAAAAAACTACTCGATTATAGTCGAGTAGTTTTGATTCCCATAAACAAACAAGTATTTATGGAAGGTAACAAGGAGATAACAGGAAGGTAACAGAGAGGTAAATTACATAACTTGAAATTTATAAGGTCAAAACAAAAAAGTTATTTAGAAAGCACCAGCAAAGTTTGTTTAACTTCGCCAATTAAATATAAACAAACCCAAAGACCAATTATTCGTTAAACTTCGATTAAGAAGTTGACCGGTCCTCATAAAACTTTAGTTAATGAATATACTATTCGCTATTAGTTTCACTATTTGTTAAAAAATCTTGTTTTTGTATTGATTGCTATACAAATAAGTCCCTTGGAACATTATAAGCAACTTTTATAGTTCTTTCAGGACATTACTAATTTTTTTTTTTTTTTTTTGTTATTTACTACATGATTTAAATTACAAATGTTTAAGATACCAGTATAAAAGAGAATAATTACACTTGAAAAAAAATGAAGCGGTGAAAAGAACAGTACTAGTCCATTTTTGTAATTATCACTTTTTTTCATAATTTCATTTAACTTATGTTGATCTCTCTATGTAATACAAAAATAATATTAGTCCATCTTTCTTTCATTATTTTTTGCCATAAAACTAGTCGAACAACAATACAGTGATAAACATTGATAAGCTCGAAATAAAAATATTGGATAAATATTGATAAATATT